GTTCGAACGTACCGCTGCATTGTACACTCTACTTTTCAGGGCGAGAGTGTTGTCGCGCCGGCGCCGTAAGTTGCAAAGGTTAGCAAAAGCGCCCCGAGCTTTTGCTATACGGTTCGTGATCTCATCTTCAATCCCACGGGTGTTGATACAACTTCCCAGGTAGTTGAATTTTTGTACGACTTCTAGCTGATCCCCACTAAGGGTCAGCGTAGGGGCGGTCCAGGCCAATCTTGGAGGAACGCTTTGCACTTCGATGGTGCAAAGCAAAGCCCGAAGCGGCTGACAGCCAGTGCTAGTCTGTCCAGTGCCGCTTGGCACGTTTGGGAGCTGTCACAGATTAGGGCAATATCATCAGCATACTCCAAGTCAATAATTCGTTCTCCTGCGAACAAATCCACAACTTTTAAGTCGTGTTCTGTGAACGCGATTTCCATGACTTCGTTAATAGCGAAGTTGGAGGGGAAAGGTGACATCGGGCATCCTTGTCTCACACCACTGGAGATATTAAAGGGCGACGACAGCTTGCCGTAAACCCTCACTCTGCCTGAGTTACGCGCGTATAATGCTCGGATAATATTCACATATTCCTCAGGCACACCTTTCCTGAGTAGACAATCCTAAAGTGCACGTCTATCCCCCGAATCGAATGCGCCTTTGATGTCGAAGAACACAATGACGGTGGGCCGCCAATATCTGTGACGGGGTCCAACAACTGACGCAAAATGAAGGTGTGGTCAATGCAGCCACGACCTCGACGAAACCCGGCTTGCTCTTCACGAATATGGTTTTCACAAGTGCCAGTCAGTCTGTGAAGGATGACAGAGGCAAGCAATTTGGAGGCGATGGAGATCAGACTGATTCCTCTTTAGTTGCGGCATTCCGATCGTAAGCCTCCCTTGAAAATTGGGACTATGACGGAGCGGCTCCAGTCGGTTGGGACAGTTTCCTGATCCCACAGTTTCACTAGTAACTCGTATAAAACATCCACTAGAGCAGGTCCCCGGAATTTGAAGCGGGCTGGAGGTAGATCATCTGGTCCCGCGGCTTTATTTAACTTCGACAGTCCGATCTCACGTTCGACTTCTGAGTGAGAGGATGGATCCAAAGGGACAGCCCACGGAGCGGGGCGATCAGTGGCCTTCGCGAAATCTAACCATTCCTACCGATTAGATTGCCTTTCAAAGTGCTCATCCCAATGTTCCAATCGTTTTGACAAGTTGTGAATAGGCTGTCCACTATCATCACTTACAGTTTCACTAACACCAGGTCTGCTATTCGTTTTCCGTATCAGACGGAATAACTCACGATGGTTACCAAGGGCAGCGGACATTTCTATTTCTGATGCACGATGAGACCACCAGGATTCGCGTTCTTTCTTCAGGCTAGCACGGAATTTTGCCCGGAGCTCTTTGCGAGTTTCTATGTGTTCGCTTTCAACCGGAATATGCCGGCGAGCATCGATGAGTTCCAGAGACTGCGAAGAGACCCAATGTCCGTGTTGGCGATCAGACTTACCACATGAGGATTCGCCTGCTGCTAGTAAGGACTGGTGAACATGTGACCAGTGACCTTCAGTTGTCTTCAGTGAGCGCTTACTTAACTCGCATGACAGCGTACTTTGATGGGCATTCAGAACAACTCGGTTGGCTGGTGTCAATGCGCTTACAACGTCGTGGGCATCCGCCAATGTGCATCCGCAAGTTAGCACATACAAGTGCATGGTCGGTGTCCACACCTGTGCTCCAAATCGAGCGACAGTTCTGAATGCAACCTCTCCAGCGGTAACTTATCGCAATGTGATCGATTTGCGTCCATAGCTGGTTCGAGTCTGGTGGGGCGCCAAATCACCCCCCGGTGGGTGCTGTGTCGGAAATTAGTGCTCGCAAGAAATAAGTGAGCATTCTCACAAAAATGAAGTCACCGCTCACCGTTATCATTAAGAGAGCCTACACCATGTTGGCCGCTCAAATGCAGTTCATCATTGGATAATTTTCCAACTTGAGGGTTCAGATCCCCAGCCAGCACAACAGTGTCCGAGCATCTTCTGTGGCGAAGGAGCTCGTTCATTTGGCGATGCAAGTCGTTTTTTACCGAATCATCGCTAGAGTTTATGGGTGCATAGGCAACGATGACGAATAGACACCTGTTAGTCCCGCGCGACTTCGAAGCTTTGAACGAGTCAGCCAATCGGACCGCACATAATCGGCTACTGATTGGAATCCAGTCAGCCAGAGCAGGTTCACACCTGGGACTCAGAGCAGTTCCAACACCGGCTTGGCTGGTGCTCGAAGCTGCTTTGTCACCGGATAGGCACAATGAGAATCTGCTGCTGGTTTCACCTGAAGGGGATTGCGGAGTGAGCACAGAGCTCGAGTCTTGCAAGCGTGTCTCCGATGAGTAGCAGATATCGATCGTGAGGGTCTAATGTTCGGACAAGTGCTGCCTGTTGGCCGATTTGTAGCAAAGTGAGTACATTGAGGCATACCACTCTGAAGGATGATCGAGGGCTCCAAATAGAAGTCGATGAACTGGGCTTGGCCGGTTGCTTGGACATGGGCTTGTCGACAGGAGAGGGTGACGTTCCGCGTTCACATGTGAGTTGAAACTAGAAGGTAAAAGCCTAGCAAATTAAGGTGGGGGAGGGCCGAGAATTGGGGGATTGAAAACAGGAGGGATAAAAGTGAAGCTGGAACGGGACCGTAAGTGAGAAAAAGCGTAAGTGGGGGAATAAGAAGATGGGAAGGCTTGAGCAGTAGCATCCAAACCCCTATCTACCCTGCTCGATGCAGCAGATAGGGCACAGTTGATTATTCTCTTCGGTGGCCACAGCATCAGGAATTCGTTTGAAGATTCATTGTATTGCGTGGGCAGGATACTGTCAGGTTGCCCAGGCCTAGACAGGAGAACGATTAGGGTTCTCACCGAAAGCCTTTTGTTCAAAAACCTGACCGCAAGACAGCGGGTTTGGTGTTGGGGTACAAGGAGTCCGTTTTAAGGAATAAGGAGCCACCTCATTTCAACCCCCAACCTGGATGACCAGGAGGCTGAGTTTGTCTGGCCTCTAACCATTGACCAATCTGGTATGAGCGGCTGTGCTGTTGCAAAGAAAGCACTACCCAGCATAGCTCAATGGATCGCTGAGGCACACAAACCATCGCACCACGTTAAGGTCCAGCCTCATTGCGATGGAGCTCAGGGGCACCTCATTATATATATATATATATATATATATATATATATATATATATATATATATATATATATATATATATACATATATATATATATATATATTTGGTTGGCGGCATCCGGTTTCGGATTTGCCTGTCACTGTGGCCAGCCACAGGACGTCTGCACCTACAGAGGGACCATGGGTGACTTGCGCTGCACCACCCACAGCTACAACCACACACCCCATAACCAGTGTAAACCCGAAGGAATAACACCGAGAGGCATGTGGATGGGAGCCACGTTTCATCAACGGAGCCGGCCCACACTTCGACACAGGCAAACACAAGCACGCTGTAGTTGGGAATCAAACACACACAAGGCGGTGGATGGACCGTGGTTCTCTCCACACTGAGTGCATGGAACTACTCTTCGAGCCTAGAGCGACCAAAAGGACCGTGCACCCCGTACCCTCCAGCAACGACCAACTGTCTCCTGGAGCCAATATGGACGAGGTAGTGGATAATAGACAGGTAAGCACCTTATCAACATGCACATCAAGCGCATTCGCACCGGGGATATCAAGCAACAGCCAATCACTTGAGGGAAAGATAACAAAGAAAATAAATCGAGTAATGCATATATAAATATATATATGTATATATATATATAACCAGTACTTATATCTCTCATCTCATACTGTCTGGAAGCCCTGTCGGTGTCTTGACTGTCGCACTGCTTGTTGTTCATTCACTGAGTCAATGATCGCCTCGTGTACACGTTACTACAGCCTCGTTGCTAACTTCGAAGCATATATTTTCGTTTCTCTACTTGCCTCTCTATCATTTGCTCACTTCTGATAGTTCTACGGACCATTTGAGTTCAGTATTCTCATCTGCCAAATCCTAATTGTTTCAAGTATTCATTCTAATAAAATTACTATTTCTTTCTGACTGAACTCCATGGGAGTGATAGCTCCTTCGGCCCGAAGAAGACATCTGTTGACGATTTTTGTGTCCTGCCAGCTGGCTTTCCTTTCGGTCACAGATCAGTATGTAATTGGACTACTTGCCGCGAGACTATTTATTGCATCGATCTGTCACGTACTCTTTTCGACGTTACTGGAAACCTAAGACTTTCCATCAATCCTTGTTTCGCTTCCGAACTCTTCCTGTCCATGCTGCGTGTTTCCTGTCAATCGAGTTAGTGCATTCACTTCACGCATATCCTCTGTATAGATGCACTTTACCACCGAGTCCTGACCAAGTGATGTGCTTACCCAAAGCTACGTTCTGTTCACTATAGACTGGGATACCAGACTTTGATCACAATCTGACCTATTACGGTTTATGATCGGTAGGATAGATGCACTTTTTTGTCTTCAGTTTCAAGATTGCTTGCAATCATCCCACTCCTTCGCCTAGCTACTTTTAGCTAGCTTTTTTCTATAGTTTTGTCCTGATGTGCTTGCTATCGTTATCCTGTAGCTGGACTGTTTGTCTTCTCCTCTTTCGGTAACGTATGGGTGTGCTGTTTCGGTTTACGCACCCACTACTGTCGCTACCACTTTTCATATTTCTCGTTATTGCACAACATTGGAAAATCTCAGTGGATGTTTGAGTTGCTTGACTTCGAGTTAGTTCCGTCGATTCCTAACTAGTTGGAAAGCACACTTTGATTATCACTCTTTCACGGTTTCTACTTGTTATCCTCGAGTACTAATGATTACCGGTGTGAAAACACGCTTTACTGTGCGTTTCGTTTCGGTTCACACCATTCGTCGCATGCATTATATCGGTGATATTCTCTTCACATTTTCTCTTCCACTCTAGGGAATGTTGTCTGCACGCGGTCGCATACTTCTGTTTGCGGATGCAGATGGAGCTACCAAGTTTTCAGATATAGAAAAACTAGAAGACGCTCTTTCCTCTGTCATCGCACGTCGCTGGGTATGCACTAGCATTTTGCAATTAACTTGATAGTTCTTCCACCTGGCTTCGAATAATGCATCCACGTCATTTTCATACCATTGATATCTTGATAAAGCATGCTTGTTTCCAACAGTATGCGCTTATTTAGTGACGAGGGTCTTTCAGCTGTTTGCAGTTCCTTTGAGCTACTTTACTTACTGTAAACGTCACTTCACTTACAGAAGGCGTGTTACTGGCTGATGTCTTGTTCGGTTGACTTTGATACTCTGCGCGATTTATTTGCTTGTCAAAGCACCCACCCCATCCATCATTGAGCTGGCAACCCATTTTTAACTAGCAGGAGCTCCCTTATAGGCACAATTTTAATCTTCACTCCTAGCTCTTGCAACTAGGTGACTTACAGCAAAACACCTCATGCTTAGGGATGTAACAGTTGGAAGGCGGGCACATTTACACGGATAAAACTTCTGCCGTTTCAACTGATGAGGCACCTTTCTGCGACGGTGTCACTCCATGCCGGCGCCTCTTGTATGAGTGCGTCTATGAGCGTGTAGTCGTTTGGGACATTTGTTCGCTGGAGGCGTCCGCCTTGCCAGCACGCTGGGTGTCCACTTGACTGTTAAAAACTCTCAGCTTCGAAATCTCTGCGAGTGAAAACTTTTGTACCTAGCTGCCATCTACCTTTTCGAATCATACTAATGTTTCCTTACTCCGTTCTCATCCCGATATATTTCTTACAGAATGGTCAAATGTCTGTCATCTGCGGATCCCGAGCCCACCTGGAGGCTTCAGCACTTGCAAAGCGGCACCCGTTTCGCAACTTCCTGATGTATGGATTTAAATTTTGCGTTTGGATTTTATGCGTTCGAGGTGTGAGCGACACCCAGTGTGGGTTTAAACTGTTCAGCCGAGCAGCCGCCAGACTTCTTTTTCATAATCTCCACGTCAATCGATGGGCATTTGATGTCGATCTGCTCTACCTGGCTCGTCACTTTGAGATGGACATTTTGGAGGTGCCCGTACAATGGCATGAAGTCCCAGGTCGGTCATGTTTGCAGTCTCATTTGATTTTACCAATGGCGTTTCGCTTCCAAACCGCACAGTGGAGTCCCGTACTCCCCATATTGATGACTACATAGTTTGCGTCGTTTCACAGGTCCGCTTAGTTCGTCTAACTGAGGCACCTCATAATTTTTGGGAACCATCCATCTTGAACTTGCAGAAACCCAAACAGCCTTTATCATCCGGCTAACACGCTATCTCCTATACTCAGAAAACCACATTTCTCTATTTGGCTACGGTTTCATGTCATCTCTTCTGTGCAATGACAGCTCCACGTCGTCATGAATGTCACCCCGTGCCGTTGGTTTGTACTGGTGTTAGCGTGGCAGCTTGATCTGCACATATGTATGCGAAGCCAACACCACTGAATCGGTTAGCATAGCTATTTCGGTCAGATTCCGCTAGATGAGGACATAGCACACCTTTCTTCTCGAACCCACGCCTATATTACCTATGTTCGACGTCATATCACCGATTATGCGTTTCGTTTTTTTGTTTCGTACCTTATCTCCACCATCATTATAAGGCCAACAGTCGTCAATGGTTTACATAGCGCTTGTCAGAAACGGATGTCCACCAATTCCGGTTACCTCCAGAGGATTACCAGCATGCGTCAGGGTGACTTGCTAATATTTGAACACCCTGATTAACCACCTTCTCGGTCTTGGATAGCAAAATTCTACGATGACGATCGTTACAGTCCACATTTCACATTGTGGCTACACGTCTACTCTAGAGCTAATTATCGTCGTCCGCGCTTTGTTCTTGCTGGTCATTTCAGTGAAAAATGTTCTCCCGTCCACATCAGGCCCAAAAGCTTCTTGCTGGAAACCATTGTCAGATAACGATCCGTGAACTTCCGGATTTGTAACATTTTGCTTTGGGTCTGCTGTCTAACACAGTCATTCGGCTCGGTCCCTCAACATGCACCGACGACGTTTGCTTACCGCTTCTTGTCCGGAACGCGATCAACGTGACCGCCATTGTTTGAATTATGTGGCATGTCCCATGTTGAGTTGATGGTCGGTTGGCTCTCACATCGTCTAATGATCTGCGCACTTCATAAATATGCATGCATTTACTCATCTCGTCTGTCGGACGAGTTTCTAACTCGGTTGATTATAAAAGTTTTTTGGTATATAAAACTCGCCCAAGGAGCAGGCATATGTCTATGTTACTGCGTAAAGTGCAGGAAACCACTTTTAGCTCGGTTTCATGAATTATCACCTCGAATAGATGCAAATAAAACTCCTTGTGTGATTAACCCCCACCGCTTTAACTCCGAAACTGAGCATGCTTTTTTGACTCATGTAAACAGTACCGGGATTTTTCACCTGTTGATCGCTTCTCCGAGCTTCATATGCAGTGTACAATCCTGCTTATTGAATCGTCACTCCGTGATCGATTGGCCGTTGACTTTTGAAAGTGGCAATTTCGATTTGCGCCTCATCTCTGTCTATTCTCTTCCGCGGCTGAACCATGTCGTTCTATTCGCCGGAGATCTTTCTTTCTGAGCTGTTGGTCACATCAGCAGTTGTAGGGTGGCACATGGCTCGAAGTGGTCCAACGTTGATTTGGCAGTGGGCAATAAAGTCACTGACGATCAAACTGGGTGTCGTCGGTCCGTCTTGCCTTCCAGGCTGAAGTTCACGTGACTCTCCTTGTGCTTGGCTCGAAACGTTAAAGGATATAGCTCACATTCGACACCGGTGGCACGTTTGTTGCTGTCTCCTAGGGGCACTGTCTGTTTAAAGTGTGTTTTGTACTGTGTTATCTGCGTGTAAATGGCTGCTTATGACACGGGGCAGTGAAAGCCTCAAGGTAGATGTATCATTGATGCCGCCTTACCTTTGTACGATAGCTAGCTGTCTGTAACGGTATGTCGTTGTCAGGGTGTAGGGGCCTTTACCCTGAATGTTTGCTTGCTGCATTAAGGTTTTCCTGTAAGTCCCCCTTCTCTCGTTCTCAGTATTCTTCATTCCGTAGGTCATTGTGGTTGTACAGCAGCGGTGCGTCATTTCAAATGGTTGATGTATTGCTGTTGGTGATAATCTTAATGAAGAAATGTAATGTACCTGCTTCCTGTCACTAGAAAGTGTTGCCTGTTGGCAAATGAAGCAGATGTATCAACCGTTTCTGCAGTATACGACGTCGACTGTGTGCACTAGTTTATTAACGATCTATGCAAACATCTCAGCCATGCGGTCAGTGGTTCCTGCAATATGTACCGCCGACTTCGCAATAAGTTGTGATTAAAACTTGAATGAACAATGACAGATCGATTGTAAAAACACCCACGGTTTCCTGCGTGCACCACTTTCGACAGTATGTTAGCTTACCATCCAGTAAGATCATGCGCATCAACCCGGTGTTTCCATTACTTTTTGCTACGTCACCTTCGTGTTTCTACAGAATTTGGTGCAACCGCGCTAAGAGGTGTGCTTTGCAGTGGCCGGTCAACATGACTTCGAAGATTGCCGCCAAATCGACGCACGCGACTGAAGACGAACAGAAATTCTAATTTGAATCCAAACAATGCACATTCAGCACTCCTGTTTGCTGTGAACAATAGTTCGCGAGTATCTTTCATTGTCCATCACATTGTGGCCACGGTTCTGTTTCGCACACCAACACTGATCGCAGCGGGGCTCTACACACTCGATCTGTATTCAGGAACTGCGGCTTCGAGAAACTGCGACAACTGCCATTAGGTACAATAATTTGATGGGTGATACGATCACTAAATTTGCAACAGTCTGACTGCTACGGGCGATTGTTAGGTGTGACTGAGAGGGGTTGATGTATCGGCTCAGTCAGATTATCACTTTAATATACGACGAAGTGCGTAACACCATGCATCGGCCTGTTTGGCATTGCCTGCATTGCATTTTGATCTACACCCCGTCTGTGAACTAGTCGTTCCCTGGTCGCAGCGAAACAGCTTGAAAGGATGGTCACAAAACAACCCAACTTGGCGCATAACGAACTAGTCGTACATGCCGGAGCAGCTGTTTGGCCGACATGCTCGAAGGTAACTTAACTTAATTCGTGTTCAGCGGTCACTGCAGTGAGACACCGGTTGGTCAGTTTCCAAACCCTACCAGCTTGCGGCACATTAGCTGAGGTGTGTTTCTCACCCTTGCCAAACGTGTACTGATGATGATGATGCTCCTACCAGGTATGAGCTATGTTTTGCAGACATTGTTGGCTAGGCACATGGGGCACGATAGATGCGAATAATGTATAATAATAAATAACCTGACGTGCAGTGACCATGTCTCCGCCCCATGCACCACCATTGGTCACACTGCAATATTTCGCGCCAAAGTTGGCGATTTGCAGTCGCACATGGCTAACCAGGGCCTCGGCATAACCTTTTATTCACTTTACAACAAACACCTCGAATATATTAATGCCCACATATGCCTTGTTTGATTTTCTTGTGAGTAGAGGGACTTACTTCAACTTAGTTTGTCCAAGATATACCGAGCACCGAAATGATGTGAACTCATCTACCATGTGTCGCATTGCAATCGCAACTGAAACCCAGAGATTCGGGTAAAAATTCGTATCGGTTTCCGCTGTAGAAGCTCAGTCAGTTCAGGGAAAGAGGAGATGGAACATAGACCAAAACGCATCGCTTCAGTCCAGTCGACAAGTCCATGTTCAGCTAAGCGGATAATGTCATTTCACCCGTTTCTTTAAAATGTTTCATAACACTGGTAGCTCAAATTGCCGATTCGGTTGCTACTTTATTCGTCGACCTTGGAAATTTGTATGTATACGTTTCACCACCATGTAAGGTGGAATCGTCAATGCACTGTGATGTGGACAGCCAATTTACGGCTTGTCAAAACGCTTGGAGCGTTGCGCTGAACACTTTCAGAAGCAGTTTACTCAACCAAGGTTCCTAGGTTCCCTAACGGCTCTTAGTCGTCTTTCTCCTTGTGCCTTCCCGTTGGATCCGCCGTCACACGCAGAAGCCAAACGGTAGGTCGAATTGTTTTAATTAAATAAAATCGCACGAGCAGATAAACTTCCTCCAGCTTTCTTCAAATTCGTGGGACCAGCTGTTGTGGATGATTTGCCAAGTTGCTAGTAAGACTGTGGGAGAAGGCGACTGTTCCTACCTATTGAGGCCACTCTGTTCTATTCCGTTTTTAAAGGAAACTCGCATCCAGAAGGCGGTCGTCATGGAGAAATCAGTCCGCTCTCAGTTCTCTGTAAGTTATTTCCTGAAGACCGACTAGCACTCGTGGAACTCAGATCCATGAGGACCATGTCGTTTTTTTTCGAACTCGAAGCTTTGTTGACACACTACTTCATATTACTTCAGTAGTTGGAACACCACCTTATTTATTGGCGACCCATCGTAATCGTGTTCCTCAACATCAAAGGTATCTTTGCTTCGGTCGATTGATGTGCCCCTTATAGATGTATGCGCAGGAAGAGTGTGTTGAATAAATATGTAAATGTCATAAGAGCGCTGTACGCGCACAGTTCGGGCAGAGTGAGGGCTAATGGCAAACTGTCATTGTCCTTCAATATCCACAGCAGCGTAAGACAAGGTTGTGCGCTGTCACCTTTCCATTTTAACATAGCTATTGAGTAGTCATGGAACCTGCATTCATTGAGCGCGAGTTGAAAGATGTGGGGCTGCTTCCAGGTGATCGAATTTTTAACTTTGTGTACGCCACCTTTACTGCCCTTATCTGTGACAGCTCCCAAACGTACCACTTAGCACTGGACAGCTTAGCTGTCAGTTGTTCCCGGCTATGCTTTGCATCATCGGAATTCCAATTCATTCATCAAGAATAGTAGGGACGCACCTCTGCACTGACTCTTATTGGTGATCGGTTAGAAGTCGTACAGAAATTCAGGTATCTGGGCAGTGGACTAGGCGATGAGATTACGAGCCGTGTACTAATAGCTCAAGGCACTTTTGCCAATATCCGTCACCTGTGGCGTCAGCACGACCT